AGAGTGTATGAATTAAAGGGGATATAAGAAAACCAAGAAACAAACCTTCCCTGAGTATCACTGTGATATTGTGACTTTCCTAAAATAAACCACCCTGTGCCAAGATTTGGTATACAGAAATTCTAGGTCAGTTGGCTTGGTCTTTGGTGAAATCGGGAAGCTGATTTGAAAAGTTAGGGTATGTGCTTTCAAAATGATTAGCAATTGCAGGCAACCTACTTCAGTCACCTTAGGGACTTGCATCTCAGGGGTGGGTCAGCACTGTTGGCATCTTAGGGAGCACAACCAGAATCACCAATGACTTTGGAGTGTTTGGTTTGTAAGGAGGAGCTAGTGTTGGCCTTAACCACAAAGAGACTTACACCCACATACAACAAAGGGCGATTATTTGAAGGGGTGTCATCAGTAATTGTGCACTGCTAACAGAACTGCTCAATGCCGTGCTGGGGAGCAGAAAAAGAGGATGGAAGCCAGAGGGGGAAGCAAGAGCTGTACCTGCAGGATGGTGAAATTCTCCAGGACGCTGTTCATCATGTACTTCTCCGGGAGGTGCTTGAGTTTGTGGATAAAGTTGATCATGTATTCACACATGGGCGAACGATGGATTCGATATACAAATCGGCCGTTCTCCAGCCGCGCGTACTCTGTCTGCAAGAGAACAGAGCCAGGGGCTCGGTGTTACCTTATGGTTACCACCCAGCTACCAGCGGAAAATGAGAGCAGGACTAGGAAGGACAAAGGAGTGAGGGCACGACGGTCGAGGAAGCAATGACACAGAAAACTGCTGTAAGAGTCCTAAGGGACTCTAGGGTGGCTCCAGGAGAAGGCTGACCTTTGCTAGCTCATACACTAGATACACCCTTAAGAAACTAGCTCATCTCTCCCAGCATCCATCCAATGAACTCAAGTCACTTGTGCCTTTAGGCTGTAAGCTCTTTGGAGCAGGGACTCTTAGTATCTGGAAGGTCTCACTTGTTGCACAGCACCCTGCCTACCTAAGGTAAAGAAGCCCACAAGCCAAGAACAGAACCCAAAGATGCCCAACCCCCTATCTCCCACTCCAATTCCCACACAATCATCCCTCTTTTCATACCAAGCGTGCAGGACTCACCTCCACCTTCTCCACGACTTGCTTCCCGAAGGAGCACACTTTGGTGGAGACAGTGATGGTCATGTTCTCTGCACTGCTGTACTGGCTGCTCACGCCATAGAAAGTCCCAGGGCCATCTTGGATAGTGCTGTTCAGATCAGCCTACAGCAAAGGTGGAGGGAAGGATGTTGTTATTAGGCACTGAACCAAGTTTCGGCCTGGTGTGGGAAGGAGATGTTGGGGATAGGCACCTGGAGGCCAAAAGGTTGACTTATACATGCCGGATCTTATATGGAGCCCAAGGGTTGACAGTCTGGCATGGGCATGTTACCCTCTACTGAGATACAGCTGTGGCTTGGGGGAAAGGCAACCACTGCTTCAGTGTGCAGCAAGCCCCCAAAGAAGGGCAGGATGGTAAATGGAAAATGTCACAGGCACACAGTGGGGCAGGGGTGAACTCGGGAGATGGGATGTTGCCCCTGCTGGAATTTGGCCAGGACCTTAGGACCAAACACAACTGGGTCTGGTACAAAGAACGACCAGATCGATAGCCCAGCAGGGCTACGAGCGGCATGGCTCTTACCCAGAACTTGACAAGGAAGAAGGAGTTCTGGGGTCCCCTCTCGTAGAGCTCCTTGAGGCCTCCTTTCTTCTCAGGGAACTTGTCATAGATCTGGCGGATGTCCACAGCCTCCAGCAGGGGATCACTGTACGAGGGGTTTGTCTGCCCGATGTGCACAAAGAGGTGTTTGCTGTACTGTAGGGGAAGCAGGGAGCATCAGTGACATGGGAGCAGGCCACGCAGGGCTGAGTCACTACAAACACACAGCAGAGCTACATGCACCTTAGTGACACTGTTGGAGTCCTTCTGACATCCACCAGTCTGTGAAGGAAAGGGCTGTAGGGAAGGCAGCCTTCACTCCGCCCTCTCCAGAGTGCGCTGGGGCTCACGGGTGCAGTCTCTACATGGCCCCACAACTGTCCCTTGACTGGCATGGGGGTCTCATGAGTACAGGGTGGGGAAGAGCGCCTGTTCCGGCCTCTGGGACCCTTGCCTGACCACTGATCAGACAAACCCTCCGCACCCCAGGCGGCGATCCAGGACTGTTACCGTTTCAGCGTCTCGTGGCACCTCCATGAACGCGGAGTACTCAAGAAGCCGCAGCTTAGCCGAGGCAATGGTGCGGTCCTGCCAGACTGGCACGGCCGAGGCAGTTGGCGGGAGAGGAGCCAGGGGCTCGTAACCTAGAAGAGGGAGAGGGGGCACCCAGTGAGCTGGGGGTATCCCATCACACCAACCCCTGTGCACTGCAGCTCAGGGATATCTTCCACTCCCTGTATCCTGGGCATGGTGTCCTGCCAGGTCTAGTCCCCTCAGCCAGCACCCAGGTACTTTCTAGTCTGGCCACGGCACTTGGATGCAGTGGGGCTAGCCCATCACCCTGGGGAGCTTGTTCCACTGCCTGGAAGCAATCACAGCCCCATGGTTTAGCTGCTGGACAGGGATGTAGCGCTTGGCTGTGTTTGCACTACCAAGAAAAATCCTGTGGCATATCAATCCCTGCCTGACCCTACACAAGCTGACCCGCCTCCCCACTCTGGTGCCAGCTCCTTTGGGCATGTGAGATCCAAGTCATTCAGATCAAATTCTAAATGACTTCAACAGCTGGAGGAAAAAACAGCTGCCTAGAGCAGCAACCTTCACTCTCCCTTGCCCTTTCCTGGGCAGGGCTTGGCTGATTTGTAATGCCCAAAGCCTGACCCAGCAGGGCCTTCATGCTCCTAAGGGAGGGGTCTCGGTGCCCGGGCAGCATACACAATTGTTCTCTCTCTGCCTAACAGTGCCTTGCGTTGTGGCTAAGAGCCATGCTGGGATCAGTCTTGGCTGGCTTGTCTCTTACACTCCTTAAGTGGCAAGTGGTGAAAGGTAAAGGGCTGTCCTGAGCTTCTTGCTCTATGTCCTGGTTATGGGCACCGTGCTAAATATTTGTAGATCCAAGATCGTGAGCTTCTACTGTGTGAGGCTAAAGAACAGACACCACTGGCTGGAAGCAGAGAGACACACATGCCTCCATTCATGGTCTGGCCACTAGGGAGGGATGAAGAGCCATACTGTTAGCAAGGGTTATGGTTGCAAAGGCTGCGGAGCCAGTGGCCAAGCTAGGAGGCAGTTTGATTCTGGGCATGCTGCATGGTGAGGTTTTGCTGACACACACACAGAACTGAACAGAGCAGGCTTGGGCCCTGGGATCAGCTACAGAGGTGGTGCCCCAGATTTCAGGCCCAGCATGAAGAGGAGCCTGCTGGGACTGGCAGTCAGGAGGCATCCCAGAAAGACAGAAGAATCCTGCCTGCCTGGTGGAGAGGGTGATGGAAAGGGAAGGGAAAAAAGAAAGCCCCCTTTAAGTTAGCACTAGAGTGTCCATAGCAAAATCAACACAGTTGTGCCAGTGAACACACATATGGGTCGTGGGTGGGAGCAGGAGCAGGGGTAGGGGAGCCAAGGACAGGGTAATGAAGCAAACTAGTACTGCCTCCAAGAGGCAAATGTACTGGCTGAGACCTGGCCACCAGGTGAAAGCAGACACTTACTGGCTAGTGATGGAGGCATGGGTGACTGGATGGGGTAGGCTGGTTGTGCAAACGGTTTAATGCTGGAAAACAAAGTGCATTGTTAGGCAAGTTAAGAAAACCCTCATTTATAAAACGTCCCCTCCTCATTTCCCACCCACCCCCCAGCTAGGCACTGACAGGCACTTCCTGGACTATTAAGATAAGAATAACTATAATGTGCACATACAAATGCATGGAACAGCTGTTTGCTCTCCTCTTCCTGCATCTGCCACCCCAGTCATCCCTTCCCTAACTAAAGAGACCATCTGTGCCCCTTCCAGCAGCCGAGCACTGTCAGACACATGCCAAAGCACACTCCCTCCCCACCCCACCCCCTGACGCTTAGGAGAATGGACGTACAGCCCATCTCCAGGCCCGATGCTCTCCGGACAAACAAGAATTCGCTGAATGCCACGGCACTCTGCCTGCTAGGGTATGACCAGCATCCAGGGCTGGTCAGACACCGAGTTTGCTCACATCAGTCATGCTGGTTGTGAGGAGCGTGCATTTCCTTGGGAGCTGCAGAGCTCAAGGGTTGCTCAGATGGGCCTAAGATGCCCAAGGAGATGCTGGCTGGGGTCAGGCAGAATCAGGCTCTGGGTCCAGAGCTAGCACCAAGCATAGGGGAAAACAATGGAAGCTAGGTGGGAATCTTGCACTACTGCATTTTCCTCCATTCCCTGCCAAGGCTGTAGCACTGATATGCAAACGCCTGGCTTGCTCAGCACCTTCAGCCTCATCACGTCAGCCTCACACCCAGAAATACAGCAGTTCTGTATCCATCCCGACACAGCAGAGCCAGGCAAACATCCCCATCATCCTACCACAGAGAGGCCTGCCCAGTCTCCATGGTGCTCTTTATTAATTTTGGCAAGCAGGTTCCTGGGCGCATACTGCATGCATCAGATGCTCCCTACACACAGCTCCTGTGCAAGATGCCCCCCACAAGGCTGACCCAGGAGGGGACTGATGGGGCTGAGCACAGCACTTGGGAAGCCTGACGGAGCCTCCGCTCTAATCACTGCACCAAGCTGCTTCCCCTCTATCACACTGAGCATTTCTAACTGAAATTGCCTGGGGAAGAATCACAGGTAAGAGTAAAGATTCCTCCCGTTGCATGTATGGCACAATTGCTCCTTGCTATGTCTCAGTACTCACTCCTGAGAGGGTCCAGGCTGTCCTGGGATAGGCCCACTCCAAAACTGGGGAGACAAAAGCACATAAAGAACCACAGTTAGGCACTTCATTAGCAAAACGGCTCAAGGATGTGGGTACGTTTGGTTTCATCGTCTCACTGGCAGCTCAGCAAATACGCTGAGGGGCTTTAAGGTTGAAAAGCAAGTCCACAGCCAGCCTGGACCATATGCCTCATGCTGGCAGCCCTGTTATGACAGTCTAAAAAGGCAGCTGCTGAGAGCGCCACGTAGACCAAGTTCCATCAGCCCTTTCGCCTTACAGAGCCCGCTGTTGGGAGAGGCTGGAACTGGGTTGTGAGCTGCCATTCTCCTGTACCATCCCCTACCGCACCTCCTGTGGGGACAGTCTAGGACTGAGTAGTTTCGATCTCCCTCCTCTGCTGCTCTCTGCCCTCAGCTTCTGCCCCAGAGCCTGCTGCTTGTGGTATGCCTCAACAGGCTGGGAATATAAAGGGTCCCCTCTTCTAAGCAGGGCCTTCACCCTCAAAGAGAAGAGTGCCTTACCCTGGGGGCAGCAGAGAAGACAGCCTGAGGAAGAGGAGGAGGAGGACTGAGTTTGTTCTGCAGGACGCTGGCTGATACGATCTGTGCAGATGACATGGAGGCCATACTTTGCAGGGCTTTGTCCTTTGAGACCTGATCCTGTGGGAAGGGAGACAGAACAGAGTGGTTACCCATCCAGGCAGGACAGGGGGACCGGCACAAACACACACACACTGCTTTAACCCCCTTCATCCTGAGAGCCCAGCCCTCCTTACAAACTAGAGCTACATGTACCCAATGGGTAGCCTTCAGCAATTTCGGGGATGAAACATGGCACCCATTTAAGTGCTGCTACGCACTGTTAGGTGACAGCTCAGGACTGGAAGTATCAAAGAATAATGCAACACGTCAGGGGGAACTCATGAG